CAACAACGAAAAAAAATTACCGCCCATGATTGTTATAAATCTGACACACAACACGTACAACAAAAAAGTTTTGATCTACAGGTATTTGCTAATTAGTCTAATTACTATCGAATAATCGTTTTTTTATTCAAATATTTTACTCGAACTATACGTCATTTTATATTTAGAATGAATTTGTTTTAAACAAATTGTACATTATGGCTAATTTATGTGAAGCTGGTTTAAGAGATTTTACAATTAAAAATGCTATTAATGTTGTTTGTACCAGTCGTTTGCATTTTGAATATTAGATTCCATTTTTTGAATCCATACTATAATTAACATACACACAGACACATTTATTACGTCTTTCAAATATTTGTCAAACACCTGTATAATGTTTATATTTCTTTTTTTATATAACTTGTTTTTTAATGAAGTAAAAGCATTTAGCTTATTCCACTAGAGATGGAAATGAAAAAATTTTCTCTCTATACCAATCGATGAAGTTCGCCGAGGCGATTTAGAATATGTATAAAATAATGATTAAAAGCTTAGAAAAAAGACATCAGACAACTAAAAAAGTCAATTCTCACCGCTCTACCTCAGTACCATATATTGCAGTATCATTTTTTTTTGTAATATATTTAAAATGGGTCCCATGTTCTTTCTAGTNTGTAATTGATAGCCATAGGATGTTGTATACGGAAATTTTTTAAAGCTGGAGGTAAAGTTGTAACCGGGCCGGCAGACCATCCTGTCTCTACCGCTCTTTTGCCGGTCTAGAAAGATTTTCAAACCGACCGGTTTTGAAATCCTTAGACTTTTTCTCTTCTTCACTAAAAAAAAGTGAATTTTTCTACTCTCTTGTCCGTCTGGAAAATCTTTGAAAACCGGTCGATTTTCTGCCGTTTTTTCACTGGTCTAAAAATTTGTTTAAAATCGGCAGGTCTTTTGCCGGTTTTTCACTAGTCTAAACCGATTTGTGGACCGGCCGGCCCGGTGCAGTCTCTTATTTTTAGGCCGGTTACAACTTAAGATGAAATTTGAAACACAAAATTCTCACTATAAATCAACGTTTCTGTGATTGAAACACATTTCAAGGAAAAGTCAACAACAGATTTGTAATCAGCATGAAAAACTACATTTAGAAATATACTCTCTAACCAAGAATGAAACAATCCCCGATCTCAAAAAAGCGTCTGTGAATGACCATAGACGTTATTTTTCAGTTGATTTAAATGTCATCAAAAAGAGTCATCATTTCGTTGTTCTACTCGAATAAGCTAAATGCTCGTACTCATGAAAGACGAAAGCAGAAGTCATATTTTGACGCTTAGATCTAATTGCCAACATACTGAACAATGATAAATTATTTTCATATTTGAATAAATGCATCAGTAACTTGATCCCACAATGGTGGAAATGGATATTACATTTTGAATTCGAATCAAAATCGTGAATCCACAATAGATGACAATGAAGAAGCGTGTCTATCATTTAATTCGTTATTTGAAATTTACTTTGATAATTGCTAACGAATCGAACAGATCGTTTTTAAAGTTAGAACATTATTCGAAAAACATAGCAACAATCAAAAACATTATTTCTCTACCAACTAATGATCAACAAACAATTGATCTTTTTTTGACACAATCTAAGATAATCCACCTTCAGTTTTCAAATTCAATTTATAACGATAAATTTGTTGAAGAGATCAATTTAAATTAGTTTCAATATAAAAATTTTTCAACAGACAAAAATTCATTTTATTTGTCTGATTAGACACACTGGTACCGTTTTCAAGTGATCCACGACTTTACCTATGAATATTTGTAATTGAAATAAAAAAATAATCAACAAAAATTGTCAACAGTCACTCTGATAATTTTCAACACAATAGTTGATAGCTGATCGAAATGCAACGGGAAAATGATCGAGAATCATTCTTGGATGTACAATTATATCTAAAAACTCTTCTCTTTGAGCAAAACGTGGTTTATACGATAAATATCTGCTATAAACAGCAGCATCACGTGTCGAATAAAAATGAATTATTCTACCTGGTAAATATAATCGCTCGTCTTTTCGTTGAACTATTGCTGAAATATGTTTTGATTCAGTCCTATTTAATGTTGGTTGTTCTTCATAATTATTTGGTAATTCTTCCTGAGGAATTATACGATTTTTTGTTTTTTTTGATAGAATTGTTTTAGCTAATGTTTTTGTAAGCACACTTGCTTTAGACTTTTGACAGTTTATTAGCGCCTC